TTGGAGGAAAGCAAACTGCACCCAGACCTCCATCTCGGAGAAAATCCTCAGTCCATTCCCCTCTGGGTACTCCAGAGCACATAAATTCCCCCTCTGCCACTGGCAGAACACATCCCCAGTCACGCTCTCTGGGGTCACAGGAACTCCCTATTGTACCCAAAACCACAAGAAATACTAGCTGTGGCTCTCTGGGCAGGTCCAGACCGCCAGAGAGGTCCCAACCAGAAATAGCACACTGAGATTTTCATGCTGGCCCAGGGTGGAAGTGTTCAGAATCTCCTGGTCCTAGAGAGCACCAGTTAGTGCCTGCAAGGACCTCTCTCATGGGAGGGTATGAAGCGCGACTTAGACCCTGGTCTCACAGTGCGCATGTAGAGTGCAAAAGGCTGTGTTTCTAGAGAGTGCAGGCTGGCATCCACACCAGATTCCCTCATGGGCACTGCCACCCAGACGCTCTCAGGCACACCAGTGGCTCAGGGACCAAGACCTGGCTTCTTCGCTGCACTCTCTGGTTCCTCAACTCCAGTGGCCTTCCTGGATCCATGGGCTTAAGTCCCTGTCCCTAACCTCCCAATTCTGTCAATTTTTTCTTAAGATTTTATGTTCCTTTTGAGTGCTTTCAAGCAGACTCCAAGTTAATGCTGGTCCCCAATCACAGTGCACTCTCGTCTTGGGGTTTTACTTTCCAATGGGTCCCTTCTGGTGGCTCCCCCCCCCTTTTGTTTATCTTCTGATATCAGCCCAATGTTCCCACTCCACTTTACCTGTCTTCTGCCCCCGTAGAGATCCAAAAGTGTATAATTCTAATCTCAGGCTGATTTCATGGGTGATCAGAGTTCTTTGGTAGGTAATCAGCTCACTTTAGGAGACCACTTGAAAAAGCACCTTCTACTTCTCCAGCATCTTGTCTCCCTCCCCTTCAGTTTGTTTCTTGTAGTTTGTTTCTTGTAGTCTCATGGTTTGCCTCCCTCTCTACTTTTATCTTATTTTACTTCTCTTTCCCCTACTCTATGTTCATCTGTTTTTTTTTTCCTAAATTCCACATATGACTGAAATCATATGGTATTAGTCTTTCTCTGACTGACTTATTTCACTTAGCATAATACCCTCGTTACATCCATGTTGGTGCAAATGACAAAATTTCATTCTTTTCAATGATTGAGTAATATTCCATTGTATATATATGTATACCACCTCTACCTTATCCACTCATCCTTCAGTGGACATCAGAGCTCTTTCCATAGTTTGGCTATTATGGACATTGTTGCTATAAACATTGGGATACTAGTGCCCCTTTGAATCACTATGTTTGTATCCCTTGGATAAATACCCAGTAGTACAATTGCTGAGTCATAGGGTAGCTCTATTTTTAACTTTTTGAGGAACCACTATACTGTTTTCCAGAGTTGCTGCACCAGCTTGTATTCCCACCAACAGTGTAAATGGGTTCCCCTTTCTTCCCATCCTCACCAACTCTGTTGTTTCCTGAGTTGTTAATTTTAGACATTATGACCAGTGTGAGGTGGTATCTCATTGTGGGTTTGATTTGTATTTCCCTGATGACAAGTGATGTGGAGCATTTTTTTTTTAATGTGTCTGTTGGCCATTTGTATGTCTTCATTGGAGAAATGCCTGTTCATGTTTTCTGCCCATTTCTTGACTGGATTCTCTGTTTCTTGGGTTTTGAGTTTGATAAGTTCTTTGTAGATTTTGGCTACTAGCCTTTTATCTAATAAGACATTTGCAAATATTTTCTCCCATTGCCTAGGTTGCCTTTCAGTTTTGTTGTTTCCTTTGCTGTGCAAAATGCTTTTTATCTTGATAAAGTCCCAATAGTTCATTTTTGCTTTTGTTTCCATTGCCTTTGGAGATGTATCTAGCAAGAAGTTGCCATGGCTTGGATCAAAAAAGTTTCTGCTTGTGTTCTTCTCTAGGATTTTGATCAATTTCATCTCACATTTAGGTCTGTCATCCACTTTGAGCTTGTCTTTGTGTCTGGTGTAAGAAACTGGTCCACATTCATTCCTCTGCATGTAGCTATCCAATTTTCCCAACACAGTTTGCTGAAGAGACTGTCCCTTTTCCACTGGATATTCTTTCCCACTTTGTTGAAAAATCAATTGACCATAGAGTTGAGCATCCATTTCTAGGTTCTCTATTCTTCAAATATTTTAAATATTCAGTGTATATTATATTGATGACTATGTATTAGTAAATATTAATTGAATCTCATATATTAGTATATTCCTATTAATAAAATATTCATTGTATTAATTGAGGGGGTTCTTTTAAAATCCAGAAAACAAAATTGACATAAAGGCAGACAATGATTTCTGTAAATTTGTCCTCTATCCTAATTTTAAAATAAACAAATGGTCATTTGGATGGCAAAATAACTATGACCACAGCGAAGATTCAAAAATCACATCTGATGTATAATCACTGTACTAAATATTTTTCATCTGTCAGCACAAATCATCCCTCCAACAACCTGTGCAGTAAAAACTGGTATTGGACCATGTGACAGATGAGGAACTGAGGCATAAGGAGATTAACTAACGTGGTTGAGGTTACACAGCTGGTTGGTGGCAGAAATGGAGTCCCATCCAGTCTGGAACTCACACTATGTGCCTATCTTGATGACACAAGTGCTCAGCTGCATCAGCAAGCCCTGGCCATCTAGACTCCCCACGGAGTTAAGCATAAAGGTCAGCAAACTTTTTCCATAAATGGCCAGATAATCAATATTCCCAGATTTGTGGGTCCTATGGTCTCTGTGGCAACCACTCAGCTCTGTCCTCAGAACATAAACAAGGCCATAGACAATTCTGGAGAGATAAGTGTCGTTCCAGTAAAACCCACTTACAGGAGTAAGCAGCAACTGCTTTCTTTGCCAACACCTACCTTTGAATCTTCCCATTGATGCTTCCTGCTAGGTCCATTTGACCCTCTCTGAAACCTAACTATAGGAAACAGACCTAGGGCTGCTGGAGGGGAGATCCATGGGAGTATGGGGTACTTAGATGATAGGCATTAAGGAGGGCACTTGAAGTAATGTTCACTGGGTGTTTTATGAAACTGATGAATCACTAAATTCTACCTCTACAACCACCAATATAGTATATGCTATATCGAATTTAAGTAAAAATTTTCAAATAACAAACAAAAGCAAAAAAATTTCAGTTCCTTCAGGGAAACTTCTTCCAACTATTGGGATCTCCTATACAAGTAGATTATGGATCCAACCCATTTCCTCACAGCTCCTCATATATGATCATAAAGTTAATCATCTTGATGTTGTCTATTCTCTAATTGTTGATCCTCCAACTTCATTGGTGTCTCCCTGAGGGCTGAGACCACTCTACCCTAATCACATCTGGGTCTTCAGAGCCAACTACAGATCCTGACACAGAGGTTATACTTCATATTTGTCCAAAATATATTTTTACTGATTTGATAACTTTTTTCTTTTTTATTTATTTTTAAATTTCTTTTCAGTGTTCCAGAATTCATTGTTTATGCACCACACCCAGTGTTCCATGCAATACCTGCCCTCCATAATACCCACCACCAGGCTCACCCACCTTCCTACCCCAATCCCCTCCAAAACCCTCAGTTTGTTTCTCAGAGCCCACAGTCTCTCAAGGTTCATTTCCCTCTCCAATTTACCCCAACTCACTTTTCCTCTTCTCCCCATGTCCTCAATGTTATTCCTTATGCTCCAAAAATAAGTGAAACCATGTAATAATTGACTCCCTCTGCTTGACTTATCTCACTCAGCATAATCTCCTCCAGTCTTATCCATGTTGTTACAAAAGTTGGGTATTCATCCTTTCTGATGGAGACATAATACTCCGTAGTGTATATGGACCACATCTTCCTTATCCATTCATCCACTGAAGGACACCTTGGTTCTTTCCACAATTTGGCGACTGTGGCCATTGCTGCTATAAACATTGGGGTACAGATGGCCCTTATTTTCACTACATCTGTATCTTTGGGATAAATGTCTAATAATGCAATTGCAGGAAAAAATCATTTCTGCCAACACTTTTTGGTATGTTCAGCTTATTCCATGTGAACCATTCTGTAATAAAGTTGTTTTTAAGAAACATAAATTCCTTTCAAGGAGCTCTTTTAAGCCTTGGTCTTCAGAAATGCTGGCAAAAATTCACTTATTTCTTAAGTCAAGCAGAGAGTCAATTATCGTAAGGTTTTGCTTATTTGTGGAGCATAAGGAGTAAACAAAGGACATGGGGAGATGGAGAGGAGAAGGGAGTTGGGGGAAACTGGAGGGGGAGATGAACCATGAGAGACTGTGGACTCTGAGAAACAATCTGAGGGTTTGGAGAGAAGAGAGGTGGGAGGTTGGCTGAGCCTGGTGATGGGTATTATGGAGAGCATGTAATGCATGGAGCACTGGGTGTGGCACATAAACAATGAATTCTGGAACACTGAAAAAAAATTGAAAAAATAAATAAAACCTTTTTTTTTAATTTCACTTATTTCTGCCAACATTTCTGAAGGCTAAGACTTAAAAGAGCTCCTTGAAAGAAATTTATATACATAAATTTATATACATAAATTTCTATGTAATAATGTAATAACATTATTACAGAATGCTTCACACGGAATGAGCTGAACATACTGAAATGTATACAACCTAATGCTTTTGGGGATAAGTATACACCCATAGAACCATGACCACTATCAAAGACATATACAAAGTTTCAGTATTATAAGATAAATAGGATTGAGATTTCAATTATCAACCATTGTGACTATAGCTGATAGTACTGTATTGTATGCTGAAATTCTGTTATGAGGATAGATCTTATGTTCAATGTTCTTACACAACAGCAACAGTAAAATAATACTAATTAATAGCAATGATGAAGGAGGCAGGAAGAAACATTAGGAAGGGAATGGTATGTTTATTTATCAATCCTTTATCCATAAAGGCCCATGTTTTCTTGCATCTCTTCCATTCTTTTTCTTAGATGCTGGCTCCACACAGCAAAGGATTCATATGTACCTTCCTTGGCCCCATCTGCGCCATCTTCTCTGTGAGTAATGGATGACACCAGAGCAGCCCACCTGCCCAGCTGAGGGTCATTCAAAGACCAGGTGTATCAGGAGGCTGACAGACTGGGTGAGCAATCATTCCAGTTGGCCCTGGACAGATGAGGGGCTCCCAAGAGGTGGGAATTCCCACTGTAAAACCAAGAATCAGGTGTTCTCTGAAACGTAGCACTTTCAGCACTAAAATTTGGAATTCCCATGGAAACTGAATTGAAGTGGTCACTGAAGTTACATGATAAACATGGGCTTGATTTAGGGGGTGTTTGGTCTGCTTCTCTAGGACTGTTATGAAACACAAAAGCTTCTTCCCTGCCACATTAGCAGCTGGATGAGCTAGGATGAAGGTTTTCCAAATGTGGAGTGTAGTTAAAATGCCTGTGGGTTTTCTGCAGATTAATTTGGTTTTCTTTCTGATGAACTTCTGTATTGTGAAAAACAAGCTCTCCTCACTCAACAGCGACGTGTTCACCCTCCAGAACACAAGGTGAGGATGGGTCACAGGTGTACACCATGGCCCAGACAACATTGTCCTTATGCCTCCAAGGATCCAGTGTCTCTTCACAAGACTCTTGAGAGGACTGGAAGATAGAAGGGCAGCAACCCTCCTTGGCAGCCAGCTCAGATTCTGTGGTTTGCTGCTGACACCCATACCAAAAACATTCCATCTGTGCACAACCTCAAAAACAAACTACTTCAGCTACAGAGAGAATTGACTTTGTTCTGACAAGCAGAGATTTCTGTCAGGGACCTATGAAAAAGATCCTATGAACATTCATATCCTTATAACACACTCAAGAAATAACATAACAGTTTTCAGAACCAGCACATGCCATCATGCCCACACCTTCATGCATTCTCTGCCCTCTGCTTTCCTCTTCTCTTGCACCTGGTGGATTCAGCTTCATCATTCTTAAATCACATCATCTAAGAGTTTGGGCATGTCCTCTGATTTCCTCAACTTTACACAGAATCAATGCCTCTATTCTGGGCAAAGCATATCCTGGCTCAGTTCATGGAGAGGGTGAGGACAGGAATAGCCCTGGATGGAAAGAAGTACCTCACTTTGCAAATGTTATAAGTGATCATTTGTTCTTGTCTTTCCACCAGACTTTAAGGTCTGTAAGAACAGAGGTCTTGTTCTTTGTTGTTTTGAATGCCCTAGTCCCAGCCTACATCCAGGTGCATGGAACATTCTCAGTAATGTACTCAGTTGATCAAAATTAGGGATCTTCATGAAACATCATGATCTTTTTGAAACTCACATTCTTGAGTGCCATCTTGGACCCAAATAGTGTTTCTCTTTAGGGAATCATTGACAATAAAGGTCAACATTGATCACAACTCAGTCAGAAGCATCATGGAGTGAACATGAAACCAGCCCTGGTTGTGTTGTTCTGGATGCATCCTGAACTCCTTCCTCCTCCTACCCAGGATGCTGACATTTAAAGCCACAGCTCAGCTGCTCATCTTGGGCTGCACGTGGTGTCTGAGCATCCTGCAGGTGGGTCCAGCTGCCCATGCCATGGCTTATCTCTTCACTATCATCAACAGCCTGCAGGGCATCTACATCTTCCTGGTGTACTGCATTCTCAGTCAGCAGGTACTACTTTCCAGTTCCTACCCAGGACCCTTACTTTCCTCACTCCCTTCAGTGAGCTGACCCAGGCATGCTCTGCCTCTATAGGTCCAGGAGCAATACAAGAAATGCTTCAAAGGGATCAGGAAAATGAAAGCTGAGTCTAAGAAGTACATGCTCTCAAGCGGGACCGTATCTGATGCCTCCAAACACAATGTGGTAAGATTATGCAGTGTTCCCAGAGCACTTCACTAACGAGTCCTCTTAAGAAGCTCATGCCTGCCTCACTGGACAACCTGGGTATATAGCAGGCAATGCTCTTGGATGGTACACACTTAGTTTACCCTGGGACATACCTGAAGTCACTTTCCTGTCTTAAAAAGAGGTCTTCCTATATTTACACTCACTGAGGTTCTATGCTCACATTGACCCTTGCACAAAACAGTCCTCTTTCCCGGAAATTGTAGAACATCCACTTTGTGTGACATGTTGCATATGGTTTCTAATTGTACTTGGTTAGAATATACAAAAGGCAGATACTTATAAGTGGAGAGCGAGGCTTGGTCAGCTAAATAATTAGGAATTAATGATCTGGAGCAGTAATGCACAAACTGCACAGTCACCGCCCATTCTTTATTCCAGGTCACTCTGGAAAGAAAGTTAGACTCAGAGGGTTTATGTTAATTATGCAAGGTCTTCAGCCTCCCTTACTTTTCCCCAACTTCAGTGCCCCCCCACCCTCCCTGGAAAGTCATCTGCCCATCTCTGCCCCACTTGCTTGTCCTCCTTCTAAAACTGTTCACTCATCAAAACCTCATCCTTCAAACTCTTTCCTCTTCCCAGCAGATGTTCTTACTGACTTCTTCATATAGAAAACATGAGTCAGCAGGAAGAATTCTGAACTCCCAAAAACACCAGCCATTTGGCATCTTGTTCTTTGTCTCATTCTACCTTGTCGCCACAGATAGACAAAATATGCTTTCTGCCTTTTATGGCTAATCCCTCCACCTTCACTTCTCCTGGCTTCTCAATAAGTTGACATTACTGATCACACATTTTCTCTCTAATATATTTGGTCTCAAGTCCTCAATAACATCCTTTCCAGCTGCATGGCAACATGTTAAATCTCTGAGTCTAAAGTATTAATGTTATATATTTGATTCCTCCTTCTTCTTCCTCCAGATGTTCAAACCTAGATTTTACCTCCATCATTCTACCAAAAGAGCTATCTCTTAGGCCTCCAATGTTCTCCACTTTTAATATCTTTCAGTCCTCTTGGGTTTCTTGGCAGCACTTGGTAATCTTGGGAGGACGGGATGCTGTTTGCCTCCTCCATTTTGAAAGAACCCCAGATGGCTTCTATGACTCCACATTCCCTGGAAAACTTGCTAACTTTCTACCTGAGCTTTCTTCATCTCCTTTATATTTCAACTATGCTACCTGACTTCATTCTAAAAACACTTCTGTTCTCATAGATTTCATAAGAATCTCAAGATTTTATGATGTATGTAGATTTGTATGTTTAGGAAAGTTAATGAGTACATTTCAAAGTGTACATCATTCCTGTGTATTGGAGGAGTCAGCCATGGGATATGGGGGAGAAATTTCCTATTTTGCTGTGTATATACATTGTTAACATTATTTAAAAAGAGAATATTCACATATTTGTGGTAGAAAAATAAAAAGAAAATTCTTAGTTGATGAAAAGCACAAGAAAGAAATTCACATGACGTAGATAACTATCTACTTTTCACTTTAAAGTGTTCACATCTAGAAGGGCCTTCTCCAGATTATGGGGGTAATGCACAACTTTTCTTGGTGTGTTTATATTTTCCATATCAGTTACTTTCCAAGCAATCTTTTTCCCTAGAAACCATTAATCCTCCACAAGACATAGACTTTCCTTTGGATCTAGGTAAAGAAGAAGAGTGAACAACATCCAGTCACCCGCAATATGGCAATATGATCTCACTTCACTATGTGGAAGTCCCTAGCTGCTTCCTGAAGCAGACAGTATACAGTACTATTCCCAACATGCAAATTCCCCCAAAAAAACAAGTCCCTCCCCACAAAAAAAAAAAAAACCTACAAAACAAAGTCCCAAACAGAAATCCCAGACTGACCTTCTAGCACACTCAGGATGTTTTAGCAGCTGGGAAATTCAGTTTGTATTGGGCTGAGTTCAAATATTCAGCTGTTTCCAAAGATATTTGCTGTTTATTACACTGTGGATAAACTATTTTATATCATATGTCTTAGCTTCCTCATTTCAAAGCCCTCTCAGTATTCTACCTGACTCTTTCCAGCACGGCTTCCAATTTCTCCCACCTAGCTCCTCCATGACCCCACCCCTCTTCTCACCATCGGGCCCACACCTTCTCTCATCAGGACCCCTCAACCATTCTGGCTCATCCCTCTGGCCCACAAAAGTCTCCACCATTCTCTGACTCTCTCCAATTCATTTCCAGCCCATTCTTCCAATTTCTCATATATCCCACATGCAGAATTCCTACTTTCCCAGCTTCATAGACTTCCCAACACCCAAGCCTTGGATTACTGACCATGTTCCTGGATTCCTGGCCACCCAATACTGAAATTTCAATTCCACTTATGGCAGATTAATGGTCTTGGATATTCAGGTACAGGAAGCAAGGGGTTCTGGTACCCAGCCTCCTGTAGTCACAAACTTCCAGTTCCCAGATTCTAAGGTTTCCAACTTCCAGGAATCAACCACAAAGGGCTGAGACCCAGCTAAGGAAATTCTTCTTCATCCAGGGGAGTGCATGCCATCTTCTCTGCTCTTAAAAGCCTCAAAGCCCAAAGAGCCCAAAAGGCATGGTGACCTAAGTGTGTTTACTGAAGCATTGGAAGGCAGAAAAGCACAAGCCACTCAAGTGAACCATCAATTGGAAATGAAAAGTTATTTTGGTTTTAAGGAATGTCAGTTGACAGACACAAAGACCAAATCACTTCTACCCATGTTGACATGGAAAAATCTCCATGTACAAGTGGTTAGGTATTCATAGCACAATACTGTAAAATTCTAAAACCTTAGAATTATTCACAGTTTTATGTTTATACAGATATACTCTTATCTAACTTTTCATAATTAAGTTATAGATTCTAGTTTGGCAGAACAAATTATAATTTGTTGATATTAGAGAATACTTATTCAAGGGAGGTTAGGTCAAAGTGAAGATCAGTCAGATATCTCTTGTGTTTGTAGTGTTATGTTTTTAACAAAATGTATGCATGTTTTTACTTGTTATCAAAAACAAAGTTTTAGGGCACCTGGGTGGGCAAGTTGGTTAAATGATTGTGTTTGGCTCAGATCATAATCCTGGAGTCACAGGACTGAGTGCCACCTGGGGCTCCCTGCTCAATAAGGAGGCTGCTTCTCCCGCTGACCTTCCCTCCCTCATGCTCTCTCTCTCTCTCTCATTCTCTCTCTCTCAAAAAAATAAATAATTTTTTAAAAAATATATTTTTAAGTGTTTTAAATAAGGTGCCCTTTCCTGATAAAGGCAAGAATACCATTACTAAAAAGCAAAATATAAGGTATGACATATTCTAACTCTAAATCTTAATTAGTTCTCTGCCCACAACACTTCTTGAAATTCCTGATGTATATGGAACATCTGGTATCTCTTCTTAAGCTGTGGAATCTGAGTGAGTAGCCATAGGACCTTTACCTTTGTTTAGGAATCAGGACTTGGGAGCAATCTCATGGTACCCATGTTAAATACTCACTTCAAAATACTTTGAAAGTCCATACCTGAATTGGGTCACAATTCTTTATGCTACCTCCAAGCTCAACCCCATGGAATGGAAACAAAAAAGAAGAGGTACAGACAAAAGAAGAGGTACAGATGAAAGAAGAGGTACAGATGAAAGAAGAGGTACCAGAAAGAAAGACATAAAGCAGTCATTATTTAGAGAAGTCATGATTGCCTTCTGAGAAAGCTTAGGAGAATTCACTGGAAAATACTGACAGTTCAATCACATCCAGATAGCAAGGTCAACATTCAAGATGCAATGGTTTTCCTATCAAAGGAAAAACAACTTTAAAATGCAAAAGCCCAGTGTTGGGTATTAAGGAGGGAAAATATTGCATGGAGCACTGGGTGTTATATGCAAACAATGAATCATGGAACACTACATCAAAAACTAATGATGTGTTGTACGGTGACTAACATAACATAATAAAATTTAAAAGTTTAAATAAAATTAATTAATTAATTAATTTAAAAATAAAATAAAATTTAAAACTAAAACTTCTAAGTACCTGAGAACCATCCTACAAGAAATGCATGTAGTTTCTCAAGAAGAAAACTGTCAAGTGTAAAATAAGAAACCATAACCTAGAGAAAGAGTTACGTTGGTGGGGTGAGGAAGTCTTAATATTATTAATAAGTCATTGTTTCCAAACCATGAGAGACTGTGGACTTGAGAAACAAACTGAGGTTTTTAGAGGGGAAGGGGAATGGGGGCTTGGGAGGGCCTGGTGGTGGGTATTAAAGAGGACATGTATTGCATGGGGCACTGGGTGTGGTGCATAAACAATGAATCTTGGAACACTGAAAAAATTAAATTAAATTTTAAAAAAAGAAAAAACTAAACTACAAAAAAAAAATACTGAGGCATATTTACTCTTAGTTATAATTTTTCAGTCCCACAAAGTCTATGAATTCTATGGTGCCTGGGCGGCTCAGTTGGTTAAGCATCTGCCTTCAGCTCAGGTCATGACCCCAGGGTCCTGGGATCCAGCCCCATGCCTGGCTTCCTGCTCAGTGGGAGTCTGATTGTCCCTCTCCTTCTGCCCTTCCTCCCTCTGCTTCTGCTCTCTTCCTGTGTGCTCTCTCTCTCACACACAAATAAATGGATAAAATATTTTTAAAAAGAAAAAAAAAAGAACTTATTATTTCCAAACTCATCAGTCAATGCATTGACAATAAAACATGTCCCAAGACATGTTTGTGGAATTTAGTAAACTAGCCATAAAGTGTACATAGAAGAAAAAATGTGACAGAAGTGACAGTTCACTTGAAGAATAGGTGAACAGGTGCTCACAATGGCCTATTTCTACTTTCTACTTTGTCTTGACCAAACATTAAACAGGCCTCTCTCTTTCCTACAGGCCCCTGAATTCTGCTTACCCTCAAATCTGAGCAAATATGAAAAAAGTGGAACATGCCCTCCCCATCAACCTTTCCTGGGAATTAGCTGACCACAGCAAGATCCTCTTTTTGTCACAACACACTGATGATTTCCCCTTATTTGTCCAGCTTCCCCTCCAAAAATGCTGCTTATTCTGTCTGCTTCCTCCTTTACCCTATAAAATAAAAACATTTTTCTGTATTTTGAGATGCTCATCGATTTCTGAGATCAGAAACTTCTCCCTGCTGCAATAGTCCTTCTAAGTAACTTGTCTCTTTATTCAAGCCCAGATTTAAATTTATTGGACATAAAACACAGAAATTGCCTC